CTATCTATCTATCTATCTATCTATCTATCTATCTATCTATCTATCTACCTACCTACCTACCTACCTACCTACCTACCTACCTACCTATCTATTTTAAGTTTCTCTGAGAGCCCCAGTTTGGTCTCTGGCTCAGAGAGATATCTTGTTCATAATCCCTGGGCCCTCCTCCTCCAGCTCTGGCTCCTTTATCTGCTGTACTGAAAGGGACACTAGCAGTAGCTCCCAAGGACTCCAACCGTGCTTCCTCAGCCACTCCAGCAGGAAAGCACAGCTTCAAAGGTCAGCAAGTCCCTCCTCCTCCCCTCGGTAACCCTGAGAGACTAGGCCCATGGGGGACTTGAGGGAGGTGCGGAAGTCACTGCGCCTGCAGCATTGACCTCAGCTGAGACCTGGAGACCCTTCTTTTCCCACCTTCTATACTTCAACTTTAGGCCTCTGGACCAGTTTACAGATAGTCGCTGTGTGGGATGCAGAGCCGGCAGCGTCCCACCTTTACAAGACTGGGATGAGCTGCGGGCTTCAAGTAGCTGCAGAACAAGTTCTCCCACTCACTACAGAAAACATGAGGCTAAGATGATGGCTGCAGAGCCACAGACCCGCGTGGGTTGCAGGAGCTGGCGGGGCTTTCGAGCTAGACCAGTATGAGTGGGATCTGAATAGGGAGACAAGAGTTGAGCATCCCCTTGCCCAGAGATCGCCTCACCTGCTCAGGGGACCCAGGAGATTGCTCTCACTCGCTGTTGGCGCTGTTGGTCGTTAGGGACGCTGAAGTCGCCAGGGGGCGGGGCCGTGAGCCCTCCGCTCTGGGGCTCTGGGCGTTGACTGGCTCCTCCTCCGCACCCTTCCTCCCCACTTCGTACTCCTCCCTCCTCGCGTGCTCAGATCACGACCCTATGGCCTTGGACTCTGCTTGTGATTTCTGACTGTGTGTTTCGGGATGCAGACGCTTCTGGCGGGGAGAGAAAGATGGGTTAGGAGTGGGGGAGGGGGAAGGACCAAGCAAACAAAGGAGGCCGTATTTAAGTCACTGGAATTCCCCTGTGGCTGAGCTGTGGACGCCAACTCTGCTGGGGAGCTTCTTCACCTTTCTCCCACACGAACCAAGTGTCAGAGACAGAAAGGGCCAGAGCCTCCACAATGCTCCTTCACTCAGCCGGAAGTCTGGAGCTTCCAAAGCTTCCAGCCCTGGCATGACAGGATAGGGCTGCTGTCGCGACTCCAGGGGTCTGGCTGTGTATAGTAAGAGGAATCATCCTCCAGAGCAGAGGGACAGCAGACTGGTTGAGGGGGTCCCAGGGAGGCAAAGCTTAGCTTCTCAGATCAGATGCCTCTGTTGACTCCCGAGTTTGGTGGCCATGGAGGAGCTGGGGCTGTGGAAAAACACTATAGACTGGCCTACTATCTAGCTCCAGAGGTTGAGCCATGCAGTGAGGAGCCAGGCTTCTGCTGAGTTCCTTTAAGCCCTCACAAGTGACTTACAAAGGGCCACAGTGTAGTTGTGGGTGACCTTGAACTTCTGCCATTCCTGTCTCACCCAGTGTTGGAATTACAGGGGTGTAATTTGGTTCTTTGGATTTATGTGGTACAGGGGATCAGACCCAGGGCTTAGTACATGGTAGGTACTCTGCCACCTGAGCTATATCCCCAGCCCAAATGACCACGCACCAGTCACAGTGTGGCAATATGGCACCATGTAGGCCCACTGGGGTTTTTTTTTTTTATTAACTGTGTGGAGGAACCCTTGCTTTGAATATGTGCACCCCCACTTCCACCCTTCACTCCTATATCTAGGTAGAGGTCTGGCTGGGTGGTTTGTTCTGATAGAGGAGGGGCTTCCCTACGTTCCTTGGCTTCATCTTGCTTCAAATGCCACGTTTCAGCGTCAGCTGCTTGTGTACATACGTGTCCCTGTGTAGAGGCGCTTGCACTGCCTTCTTTACAACTCTGAAACTGGACAATGAAACGCTCCTCAACAGTGGCTGAATGTGTTTGAGACAGCGTGGCTCAGGAGGATTCTAGGCGTCACACAAAGGTATAGGCTGCACAGTGATGACATTAAGAAACATCTCCATCTACAGAAGGAAGGAAACTACAGGACACAGCAACGGTGCCTGAGATACTTTGGCCGTGTAATGAGAATGGATGACGGCAGATACCCGAAGACAGCACTGCTTGGAGGCATGCACAGGATAAAGCGAAGAGGAAGGCCCAGAAAACGCTGGACAGACAGCATAAAAACAGACTGTGGAACCTTGGGTATGGCAATAACACAGGCATCTAGGACTGCCCAGGACGGGAACAACTGGAGAACCGCCATAAACGGGCTGTCCGTGCATGCTTAGCATTGCCGGGTCATACATGATGAAATGATGATGCAGATAGGAACACACGTGTGTACACACATATGGAGATAGGTTGAGAAATGATGAAGCAGATAGGAACACGTGTATGTGCACACATATGGAGGTTGGTTGAGAAATGATGATGCAGCTAGGCGGCACACACATGTGTACACACATATGGAGATAGGTTGAGAAATGATGGTGCAGATGGGAACACACGTGTGTACACATATTAAGGAGGTAGGTTGAGAAATGATGGTGCAGATGGGAACACACGTGTGTACACACATATGGAGGTAGGTTGAGAAATGATGGTGCAGATGGGAACACACGTGTGTACACACATATGGAGACAGGCCGAGAAAGGGCCTTTCACTGCCCTGCAGCTCAATGACTAGACTAGATGGCTCATGGAACCCAAAGCTCTGCTCGTCTCTGTGCACCCCTGCCGCACAGCACAGCTGGGATCCTAAGGGCATACCACCACACGTGGCTTATGTTGCTTTTGGTACTTGAATTTGGTCCCCACACTTGCCGAGCAAGGACTCCACGGTAATACCTCTTCAGCACCAGCTTCTGCCTTCTGCTTCAGCTCTGCCTTGGGGCAGGTACTATGTTAACTTTTAAAAGTCTGTCTTTGGCTGGGCATAGTAGTGTATGTGCCCAAACTCAGTGCTTGGGAGGCAGAGGTCTTTGTGAGAGGCCAGCTTGGTCACACAGGGAGTTCCAGGCCAAATAGCCATATATGGAGACCCTGTCTCAGGTTAAAAAAAAAAAAAAAAAAGCCATCACTGGTCTGACCACCATGGCTTCTCTGAATCCTTCCTCACAGCCTGGGCGTTCACTGGCCATTCCTTCAGCTCAAATACCTCTCAGATTTCCTTGAGGTTCACACCCTTGCTGCCCAGCTCAGACACCTTATCTCAGTGATAAAGCCAGTCTGTGGTCCGCTCTTTTCCATCCCTGACACTCCTCTCTCCACCCTCACCTGGAAGCACGGTCCACAGGGGAGAAGCTGTTATGTCTGAGGTTTGTCACCATCAGTTGACCAGGCAGCAAGCCATTCTGGCCTCACTTCAAACAAGTCACTGTTAATAAAATGATGGCATGGGTGTGTGCCCTGCTGTTCTGATTTTAACATGACACTCTGGGCCTTGATAGCCAGGAGACCCTTCCTGGTACCCAGGCAATCCTGGCCCACAGTCCCCATCTGAACACTCTGTGGTTGGATGATCAAGAGTTAGGTACCAGACGCTTTTCCATGAGCGTGAGTGGTCAGATTAGTAATGGGGTACTCATGAGGAAGGCCATTCTCACATTGCATCTGGGTGTGTGTGTATCGTAGATTCGCCGGGGCTCACAGAATCCAGAGAAGGGATTTGGGTGTGCTGGTGTTGGAGTCAGTGACTGTGGGCCACCATGTGGGTGCTGGGAACTGAATTTGGGCCCATGGAAGAGCAGTCAGCACTTTTTTTTTTTTCTTTTTTTTTGAGACAAGGTTTCACTGTGTAACAGCTCTAGGTGTCTGGGCACTTGCTCTGTAGACCAGGCTGGCCTCAAAGTCAAAGTCAACCTGTCTCTGGCTCTGTCTCCTGAGTGCTGGGATTAAAGGTGTGAGCTGCCACCGCCCAGCTGCAGTGAGCATTCTCGGTGGCTGAGCAGGTCACTTTTTTGTTTGTTTTTCAAGACAGGGTTTCTCTAGTAGTCCTGGCTGTCCTGGAACTCACTAGGTAGGCCAGTCTGGCCTCAAACTCTGAGATCTGCTTGTCTCTGCCTCCTGAGGCATTTGCCACCACTGTGTGACCAGCCCACTCTTCTTTAAACATCAGAGTCTTCCAGGACTACTAATCTTCTGTAAAATATTTTTAATTTTTTTTATTATAATTTTGTGTGTTTGAGTGTTTTGTCTGCGTGTATGTCTGTGTACTACATGTATGCCCGGTACCTGAGCCTCCACGTACATTCTGGGAATTGAACCCAGGTCCTTTCCAGGGTCAAGTGCTTTTTTTCTGTTTGTTTTGCTTTTGTTTTTTTGAGGCAGGGTTTCTCTGTGTAGCCCTGGCCATCCTGGAACTCACATAGATCCACCTGCTTCTGCCTCCCAAGTGCTAGGATTAAAGGTCTGTGGTCCGCCTTGCTGGAACAAGTGCTCCTAACCACTGAGCCAACCCTCCAGCCTGGTGAAACACTTTTAATAGGCGCTCTCAGCTACAAGAGCCCGGACCTTCACATTGTTGGGGTTGATGCTTCTCAGTTCGCGTTGGTTTTCTCGCGTCTCCTGGTGTCAGGTGGCCCAGGTGCTCTCTTCGGCTTGGTACCTGTCCTCCGGCTGCAGCTCCTCGGCCTCAGCCTCAGGAAGGCCATGTGGCTCCATGCCAGCTCCAGATGCTTGCTCATTCCTTTGGGTCCTGAGTGGGCCTGGTCAGAGCTGGCTGAGTGCGTAATCCCGGGCTGTCCCGAGGGCAGCCTCCAGGTCAGCAGTGTGTCCAGTCCCCTGTGCTATCATGCGAGAGCCCCAAGCCTTGCCTCCCATGTGGCTGCACACGGCCAGTGCCCAGGCTTCTGCTGTGAAGGTGGGCGTGGCACCCTGGGGGAGAGAATTAGGAGGGGGAAGCCATGTGGAGCAGTCCCCACTGTCACTATTCATTTTGCAGACCCTTGGGACTGTAGTCAGCAGCAATGAGCACCCTCCCCCAGGCTGGGCACAGGGCAGGGGCACTTGGTGAGGCAGTAAGGAAAGAGCTGGACTGGGAATGTGTACGGAAGTAATGAGCGCCTGGGACTTATTTGCAAGGAATTGAGGCCTAAGAGGCAGGTGACTAAGAAACCTCACAATGCCTTCTGGGAAAGGGGAGGGGGTGGCTTTGGGGACAAGGAGAGATCACTCTATTCCTGTCACAGGTTATATTCCCCTACCCTAGATCTTCTGCTTGGAAGGAATAAGAGGTGGAACCAGAGTGAGTTAGGGGCCACTTAGGGTGGGCCCTTGGGACCCTCTCACCTGGGCCACCTGGCAGGCACACAGGACACCGCCAGTGGGCTGGGGGCTGAGCAGCAGCACAGACATGCTGGGGGCCTTCTCGCACAGCTGCCGCACCACCTTTACCAGCACCTGCGTGAGGACGACAGAGCGATCTACCCTGCCCCAGATGCCCCGGCAGGGTTCGGTCTTCTGCAGGCCCCAGGCAGTTGTCCCCGCCCCCGCACGGTACTCACCGAGAGGGACTCAACGGAGACAGTGTCCACAATCAGAGGCCCCTCCGAGTGCCGTTTCAAGAGCTCCTGGGATTTCTCTGCAGCCTGTGGGGCAGGAAGAGCAGCAGAGGGGTCGGGCATGGATATTCTGCTTCTGAACCGAGACCTGTCTAGCAGCCCCTTCCTTCCCCTGCCTGGCTTGACCTGCTTTCCTGGGTTCCATCTGTGACCTTCTGCAATGGCCTCACCACCTCTATTCTGTTTTAGGGCCTTTAAAAGTTGCTGAAGGAGCGAGGAGGAAGGCCAGATGGCACAGATGGACTGGGAGGGACTAGGAACCGACAGGCAAGGAGCAATTAAGCTACCTGGCATTCGAGTCTATGGGAAGGGCTGGGGGAGAGCT